TCATGAGCACCTGTTTTAGGCGCTGGCTATGTAAACATGAATAAAACAGGATGCCTGCCTTGGAAAGGTCCTTCATGAGAAAGATTTCTAAATACATCATTAAATAGTGATGGAAAAAACATGTTGATCAGGAGTAGGGCTGCCCTGCCGATTATTGTAATTGCTGTCAATTGCTGTATTCCTGTGAAAAATTGAATTGGCAAAAGTTGTGTGATCGATATATTGACAACAGTGACCAAATAAAGAGTGAATGCTTATGGTTGTTTATGTAGAGCCAAGCATCTCATGGGATTTGTGCCTTAGGTTTGGAAATTTAAGACCATGATTTCATGGACCATCCTAATTAATTGGCTAGTGTTTCTCTTCCACCTCCTAATTCATTGAGAGTTGTGCCTGGGTTCTTCAAAGCTTCCAAGTAGACATCCAAGGCCCAACAAGTGGTTTTTAATTCACTGGGAACAACAGAGGAGGGATAGCTGGGAGGGAAAAAATGTGGACTGTGGGGCTAATCGCCTCCATGAGCAAATGTCTCTCTCCCCTGCCGTGAGTCCCAAAGGACCGGGTGGTGGCCAGCTCTCATTGCTGAGTATTTCGAATAAAGGTTCCATGGCAGAATCCTGATCAAAAGAAGGTGGAGGAGTGCCTAACAGAATTTTAAATTCTCTTAGAGTCTAGAGACTAGATTAGCCCCTAAAACTATTTCCCTGAGATAATTGTTAAACCTTAAACCAAAATTATCCCTGAAGTCTTCCTACAAACCAAGCAGTAGTTCAGCTTAACTACTAAGAAATGGTCTGCTGTGATCAGTGTGCTTTTATAAGAGAATGTAAATACAGTGAGAAGAGAAACTGGAACCTAGGGGTCTTGAGAGTGTGCAATTATAGCAGGTACAACTCAGAAAAGGAGTGAGCATGATGGGATAACTCAAAGGAGTGTATCAGTGTGACTACAGTGTACGTGCTGAAGTAGTACATTTAAAATCATTTCACTGGGGACGCATACAGCTCTTATCACTATCCATGCTTACATCCATGGTGTCAAACACATTTGTTGCCATTATCATTCTCAAAATATTTTCTTTCTACTTGAGCTCTGTGGTATCTGCTCCTCATTTTTTTCCTCCCCCTCCTGAACCTTTGATAATTTATAAATTATTATTTTGTCAAACCTTACACTGACCAATGTCTCCCTTCACCCACTTTTCTGTTGTCTGTCCCTAGGAGGGGGTTATTGTGGGATTATAAAGAGACTTTTCCCCAGCTTTGTCTCCTCCCCCAAAGATAGGCCAATCATTAGAGGCTATTTGCCAGCATGTGGTGGTAGGTCAGATGCTTAGAGAAATCCTCCCTGAAGGCAGTCAGTTGCCAGACAACTAACTGTCTGGGCCCACCATAGGTAGGGCCTACTCCCTGCTGTTAAGGACAATGGGCTACTGCTCCCTAAAGTCTTGAGACCATTAGTCTGGTCCCTGTAAGTGGGGTTTACACCCTACTGATAATGGTTTCTATAGTGCGCCAGAGAACAGGTCAAACCTGCTCAGTGACATCCAAAGTTAGGCTGCCATCCTGAATCTAGGATCCGCCCTTCTTGTCATATGTATACCCCCCAATCCCTCCTCTTCTTATTGCGTGTATATCCCTAGATTGTCCCCCTCTCATTGCTGTATAACCTGTAGTGCAACCCCTTCCTGTGACGTATGTCTTTACCTGCAATTAGTGGGCTTGTATGCCTCCCCAAAGATATATAAGCTTTGGTTAGCAATAAAGATCCCCCTTGGCCTCTCCTTGGCTCCCACTTCCTCTCCCCCCTGTTCCCTTTCCCCTTGTCCTCCTTCCCCTCCCGCTCTCTCCTGCCCTCTGGTCTCTCTCTCCACATGGACCAAGTGAGGCTGAGGTGAGCAAGCTACCTTGAGAAGTGTCTGACTCCATTATTTCATTCTCTCTATCTCTCATGTTCTCTGTGACTTTACTATAATCTTTACTTATTATCGCTGTACAGTTGCACCTACCGGACCTGTGATGATGTGTTAGGGGCTGGTTAACCCTGACAGGTTATATGTAGATCATTGTGATCAGTTACCCCTTTCTCCTCCCACCTTCCCCTGACCCTCCAGGTATGCAGCACATGTTTTGTTGTGGTTATTCTCAAATATAACAAAATTAATAAACTGTTTACATAGTTACATTTCAAAGTGAAGCATGCTACATACTAACTATATGAACAGTGTGTTCCAGCAGTATGCAGGGGTGAATACTACATTAGCTAGTAATGTTTCAAAGAGAAAGTGTCTTGAAAGATTGAAAAGAATATCATTAGGAGAGTGAGGAGCCGGGCATGGACCTTCAAGACCAGAGAACAACCTGGGCAAAGACCAACAGAGGCACACTGTAGAACAGGGGTGGGAACCTTTTCCTGCTAAGAGCTATGTGGATGTTTATAGCTTCTTTCAGGGCCCACACAAAATGATCAACGTAAAAAGTAGACTATTCTAGTTAGTCAAATATTTCATTAACTCCTCACCCGTGGTGTGATGATGGCTGGGACTTTGGTAAAGCGTGTGTTGTTAGGTGGTAACGAGGATTTCTTAGAGCTTCAACCTGGGCCAGATATTCCCCACCCCTGAGAATATGTGCAGTGTGGATAAAAACAAGACTGAGAGAGGACGTCACCAGCTTAGAAATCTGATTCCCCACAGCCCCACCCCCCTTTGGGGCATGGGGGGGGATCACTATTGAATTTGAAATTTGGGCTGTCATGATCAGATCTGAGTTTGAAAGAGCACTGCACTTGGATCCAAATTAAAAAAAAAAAATCTAGTGGGTCACTTGCTTACCACAGCAGTGCGAACCCACCTGCTGCTCCACAGGAGAGGACTTTCAGCCTTGAAAACCCACAGGACCAGTTCTACTCTGTCCTGTAGGAGCCCTGTGAGTCTGGGGCCCTAGGCTGGGGGAGGGGGGGGGGGCGAGAAGGCTGGAATCACTGCACGAACTTGGGTTTGCCCTAAGGCAGTAGCAATGGAGACAGAGAACTGCTAACTACTGAAATTTGAGGGCGTTTTCCAAAAGTAACAGTGGGATTTTGTGGCCTGAGAAATCCAGGGTGGGGAAGGGAAGTCAGTCTTGGGTGATTAGGTAGATAGTGAAATTAACTGATTTGGGAAAATTTAAAAAGGAAAGCAGATCATTCATTATATTTTTGCTTGTCTTGGGGAGTAAAGAAGGCAAGAGTTTGTTTTTAATGAATCATTTTATTGGGGGCTGTTACATTCCATACATCAATTGTATGAAACACATTTGTACATATGTTGCCATCATCATTTTCAAAACATTTTCTTTATTCTTGAGCCGATAGTATCAGCTCCTCTTTTTTCCCCCTCCCTCCCTCACCTCCCATCATTGTGGACCCTTATAAATTATTATTATGTTCCATATATTATACCATCCACTATCTCCTTTGCAGATTCCTTCTCTGTAGGAGTATTCTAGTAGACAAGTCTAGTAATGTTTTTGAGTTTATACTGCTTATTTTTCCATTCAAAACTAAGGTTCTCAGAGGGTAATAGATCGTGGTCTCAAAAAGGTGGCAAAACATGAATTCCTGAGCTTTTAACGTGAGTCTTAAGCACAATGACCTTTTAAAAGAAAAGGAAATCTCTTGGTTTCCACCATAGTTATTTTACTGTTAATTTTCCAGAAAAGCTATTTTTTAAAAGCCTAAACAAAGTGAGTAGCATTTGTACAAGAAAGATTGATTTTCTAAACTCTGTTCTATGATCTTTTTGTTATTTGGCTGATAAGAGACAAAATGTACTCGGCATCAGAGCCAAGGAGCCTGAGCTTCTTGTTTCGGTCTACCCATTCCCGAGTAATAGCCGTATCCCATTATTCATGCTTCATCTAATCTAATTGCTATCCTGTTTCAATAGCCAAAGACCCTAAACACACTACCTTCAAGCCCATGCCAACTCACAGCGATCCAATAGGACAGGGTAGAACTGCCCCTATGAGTTTCTGAGACTGTAACTCTACAGGAGTAGAAAGCCCCCACGTTCTCCCGTGGAGCAGGTGATGGTTTTGAACTCCTGACCTTAGACTTGGCAGCCCAGTGTGTTGCCACTGCACCACCAGGGCTCCCTGTTTCAGTACAAGAGAGACGGAGAGTGTCACAGGCCAAAGGTGTAAGGTCTGCCTTCCTGCGTTTAAAATAATATTTTTCTTCCCATTTAGTAGGTTAAGCTGTTGTCCATCTTGAAAACTAGAGAATAAAGCAAAAACAGGCGCTCAAAACTCTTTCCCTTTGCCCCTCCTCTCCTGCTTCTCCTCCTCACCTAGCCAACAAATGTCGGGAGTCATTGCCCGTGACTGAAGGAGTTGGGCAGATGTTGGACAAGGTGAATCACCATGCACACCTGATTTTCTTTTTTCATGTATTCAGAAACCAAATTAGCACACTATCTGCGTGACATGGGAAACGATGGGGCTTCCTTGGAAAGATGTGGTCTTGAAAAGCCAAAGGGCCAGCTCTCCTCGGTGCCACAGAGTCTCTGTGAATTGAATGGTCTTGAGTCAGCGAGGCGGGGTCAGTGGATCCACGGGAAGCTCTAGCGTTAGCCCTTGCCATCGAGATTCTTTGTTGGCTCTTGGGACCTTGGTGTTTTTCCTTCACTTTGTCCTTGATGGCTATGTAGTGTAGTCCCGTGCTGTTTAAGCCAGCTGCTGTGGGGTGCACCCAGCAGTGGTTATAGCTCTAGATTTAGTAAGTCTTAGGGTTTGTAAGTCATTTGCAGATTCCTTCGGGATAAAATGGGTTCTATAAATGTAACTTTTTAATGAAACTATTCTTGGCACCCATTAGAGAAATATATGTCTGTGGTTTTGTGGGCAAGACAGAGGCTCAGAGTCAGTTTGTTTTTTCCCCACTAGAGCTCACTGAATATTTTAAGTACTTAAAATGCATCATGTGAATCCTATTTTAATGCTCCTACTCTTGAATCACAGAGCTTTTACTCAAGTGTTTACCTTTGGCCCAACGTTCCGAGCTGAGAATTCTCAGAGCCGGAGACACCTGGCAGAGTTTTATATGGTAGAAGCAGAAATGTCTTTCGTTGAGAGCCTGCAAGAGATCATTCAGGTAGGTACTCAGGTTTTAAAAATCATTTTAAATACCAGCATCTGCAGCATTAAAATGCTTCTGTATACAGTTTTTCCTCAGAGACACGTGGATTACAGGTACACACAATGAAGGAAGATGTAGAATAACTTCATAAGTATTTACTACACCATAAGTGGAATGATCAATGTATAAAAGTCAGGCCAATTGAAATCCTCATATGAGTTCCACCATGAGCTTTGCTCTTGAGTTACCTGACTTCTCAACTATACAATCGGAATAATAGGACTGAGTCTAGAACGCTATCAGGATGAGTAGATGAATGTATACACCTGTTAGCAGGTCACTAGAGCCACAGTGGTATAGTGGTTACATGTTGGGCTACTAACCATTAGGTCAACAGTTCTAAACCACTCATCTCGGAACCCCACGGGCAGTTCTACCCTGTCTTTAGTGACACTATCAGTTGTCATCGACTCAATGACAATGTGTTTGGTTTATTAGGGGTCTGCCATATAGCAGGGTCAATAAGTCATAGCTCTTTGTATTCTTATTTGCTAGGCAAATGAATAAAACATCTTTAAGCCCTGTTACAGAGCATCCACAGGACTTGTCAGACCTCCTTTTTGGGAAACCGCAACAAAGGTGGAGAAGCAGTTAGAAGTAAAGTCATGAAGAGCCTTGTACTTGAGTGCCGTGCTTTGAACTTTATCCAGGGTAAAGGACAGCCCTAGTTTTGGAAAAGTCATGGTCAGACTTAACGAGGGGGCTTCAAAAAGTTTCTGGACAAAAATGAATTAGAAGATCACGGAATTTTTCCACGAACTTTTTGAAGCTCTCTCATATTTTAGAAGGATCTTTCCAACAGCAATCTGAAATGTGGTTTGGAGAGGAAGCCAGGCTTAATCCAGAGAGAACGCGTAAATTCTAGCATTGGTTAGAATTGAATTTGAATTTGAATCTGTTACTTGCTCTGTAGACTTAGGCTGGGAACTTAATTACTCTGAAGATCAATTTCCTCATCTATAGCATGAACATAATAGCTCCCCCTTCATAGACTGGTCAAGAGGATTGATCCCGTCCCACTGCCACGAGTCACAGGGTTTCCCAGGCTGTGGACTGAAATGGGAGGGGATGGCCTCGCCTTTCTCCCACAGAACGGCTGGTGGGTTCCAACTGCTGACCTTATTTCTTCCTCCTTCACTCAGTATACCTAATTCCACTTAAAATACAAATGCCATAAAATAAGTAGACTCACTCTCATATTACCCATTACATTACAGGTAATCATTCAGGTTGGACCACTTCCAAGTCCGTGGGTGGTTGGTTCTGTGTCCTCTCCACTTGTAATCAGTTAGAGAGGGGTTCTGGTCACTTGCTTCATCTTGGCTAGCTAGAAGAAAATAATAATAAAATAAAAACTGGCTTTTGTATTAACTATTTTCTCTTTTCATTCTCAAAAGTTCTCAGTTTAGGGGGAAGAAAGAAGTTCTCGGCTGAGGCAGTTCATTGTCTAGATACCCAGAAAGTATCTGACCAATTTGGGACCCCTGATTTCAGACTTTCTGTTACAGAAATGTCACATAGATTGTGTGTACTCTATGACTTGCTAGACTTTGTATCTCTGTTAGGGGTTTGTAAAGTAGGGTTTGAGTGGAGATAGGCCAGCACAATTAGTATGTCGTTTGGTGCCCAAAGTTGATTATTTCACAAGACTATGTTGTAATGTTGATGTTTGTCAGGCAATACAACTAAATAATACTCATTGAAAACATTTAGCTGATCTGTATTGCAGTATGATTCCTGCCCAGTACTCATCTAACTCCAGTTAATTCTTATCCAGCAGCAGTTTAAAATTGTCACCTAACCTGAATGGTTTTCTCTCGTGTTAAAAGGTTTGAATGACAAGAACTTGATACTAACCTCCATTAAGCTAATAATAAATAGGTGCTTATCATCCGATAAGCAAGAATATTCTAGTTTTGTTGTCAAGGGTTTTGCTATTTGAGTTCTTATTTACTTAAAATTCCATTGAGAGTTACTTCAATGCATACCCTGGTGAATGATTTAATTAATTAGAATATAAATTTCCCCCCTAAAAGTGGAAGGAAAAATGTTCACTTCCAACCCACCACCCCAAAAAAGTAATCTATTTATCTTCCTTTTCTTTTTCAGTGTTACCATTATATTCAGTCGAACTTACTGTGATGATTAGTGTCTTAAATGTTAAACCAGAACATTAATAGCAAGGGATATTTTCCCATGTGTCATAAGTAATTAAGTATTAACTGTTTGAGTGCTATTATGCAATTGCTTCCCTTTTTTTAAAGTTTAACTTTATCACTTTTTTAAAAAATCATTTTATTGGGGGCTCGTACAATTCTTATCCCAATCCATACATCCATCCACTGAAGTTGATCACTTCTTAAAACATCTGAAAGATAAGTTAAGCCTTTAGTTACGTTTGTTTCTCCCAGTATGTTTATAGGTCATAATCGGAATGTCAAGGTTGGGGAAGCCAATGATTTTCATCTTCATATGGGAATGTACTGCCCATGAAAGACTCCGATTGAACCACCCCACCCCAGAGGCCAAAGCCGTCCTTCTGTAGAGGTGGATTGTGCCCTTCTGCGTGCAGGCGTGGTCCTCCAGTGCACCCTACCTCTCTTGTGTGTAGTGACTGGGGGACATGACCCTTCATAAACCTTTCAGTTACGTAGTGATTTCGGTATCTCACTAAGGAAAAGGAACTTCAGCCTCCTTTTTGTTCTTCCCTTATCTTCATGTTACTCCTGGGTCCCTCACCTTTAACTCTGCACATTGTCTTTCATTCTCCTCTCGTTTGGAATTGACGCATGGTGTTTCTGGTGTTTTAATAGTTTACCTTTACAACTTGAATACCTTCAGTCAAGTTTAGATTAAAGCATTTCTCCCCTCCATATAATATCAGGTCCTAAGACATTTCTGCTGTAAATCTGTTCATTCCCTTCATTATTGTCCAAATTTTATGCAAATTGCTTGTCATAACTTTTTTATACTGTCAGTTCTTTGCAACTAAAGACCAAACCCTCCAGTCGATTCCAGCTCATGTTATTGCTGTCCGGTGCCATCAAGTTGGCTCCGAGTCCTGGCGACCCTGTGGGCACCAGAGCAAACACTACCCAGGGCCGTGCCATCTTCACAGTTGTTCTTGGGTTAGCTTTAGAGCCTGCGGCTGTAGCCACTGTGTCAGTCCTGTTTGCTGAGGGCCTTCCTTTTACACGACCTTCTCCTCTACCAAGTGGGTTGCCTTCTCGGTGTCTCCTGAGAGCATGTCCGAAGTAGGTGAGACAAACTCTTGCCACCCTTGCCTCTTAGGCGCATTCTGTTGTACTTCTGCCAAGACAGATTTGTTTGTTCTTTGCCACTCCATGGCACTTTCAATATTCTTTGCCAGCATCATAGTTCAAAAACATTCATTCTTCTTAAGTCTTCCATATTCAGTGCTAACTTTCACATGCACATGACACAATTAAAAGAAATACCATGGCTTGGGTCAGGCACACACTTGTCTTCAAAGTAATACCTTTGCAAATCAGTTCCTTAAAGAGGCCTTATGCAGCAGATTTACAGGGGCACAATGTGCCGTTTCATCTTTTGACTGCTGCTTAGGTGAGCGTTGATTGTGAATCCCAACAAGATAGAGATAGCCCTTACAGCTTCAGTCTTCTCCCTGCTTATCATGATTCTACCTGTTGGTCCAGTTGTGAGAATTTTGGTCTTCCTTACATGGAGTTGTAATCCATAATGAAGGCTGCAATCCTTGATCTGCATCAGCAAATACCTTAAGTCCTCATTTTCAGCAAGCAAGGTTGACTCATCTGCATATTACAGGTTGCTAATAAGCCTTTCTCCAATCCTGATGCCACATTCTTCTTTATATAATCCAGATTCTCTGGTTGTTTGTTCAGCCTACAGATTGGGTAAATAAGGTGAGAGGATACCACTTAATTTTAAGCCGTACGGTATTCCCTTGTTCTGTTCACACAACTGCCTCTTGACCGAGGTACAAGTTCCACATGGGCACAACAAAGTGTTCTGGAATTCCCATTCTTCTCAAGACTATCCATAGATTGTTATGATCCATGTCAAATGCCTTTACACCATCAGTTAAAACACAGGTAAATATCCTTCTGGTATTCCCTGTTTTCAGCCAATGTCCATCTGACATCAGCAGTGCAATCCCTTGTCCTGACACATAGGGACTTTATATAGGGTTTCCAAGACTAATTCATTGCTGGAGCAGAGAACCCATGTTTCCTTTTAGATACTCACCACAAATGCCAATTTAGGATTAATTACTATATATGCTGATTGACTAGAACATAGAACTGCTGGGGGAGAAGAGAACAAACCGGAATTTCAACATAATGTTGCCAAATATCTATACTGAATTCCACTAATGAAGACAGAGGCATTATAAAACATCTGGTTTTCACTTGATATTTAAGTACTGTCCCATATCTAATCATATTCAATGACATCAGTACACAGTTCTGTCCCTACTGTTTCCAGCTTTGATTGGGTATACCAGAGAAAGCAGAGGAAAAAACTTGTACTTCATACATAGATGTAGCTCTATGAGTGTGGCATTTATAGTAACTTCCTGATGGCACTGTCAGGTAAATGTTGGGCTAGTAGCCACAAGGTTGGTGGCCCAAACCCACCACTTGCTTTGCAAGAGAAAGATGAGATGTCTGCACTGGTAACGATTTACAGCCTCAGGAACTCTACATAGAGCAGCAGTGAATCAGAATCAACTTGATGGCAGTGGGTTTGGTTGAGTAGATGATGGTCTCAAAGGATACCTGGTGGTGCAGTGGTTCAAGTGCTTGGCCGCAAACCCAAAGGTTGGCAGTTTGAACTGCCAGCCTCTCCCAGGGAGAAAGCTCTGGTAGTCGGATTTGGTCATGATTAGCAGCCCCGAAAACCCTATGGGAGCCAGTTGTACTCTTGTCTTTCGGGTTTGCTGTAAGTTAGGACTGACTTGATGGCATGGGGCTTGGCATTGGTGTATATGATTTCACAGATTTCAAGTCAGAACTTTTAATTCTGATTAAAAACATGAAAGGACTTCAAAAGTTCGTGAAAATTTTCCATAATCTTTCTATTCCATTTTTCTACAAAATTTTTTGCAGCCCTCTCATATATTAGGAATGTTTTCTATTTCAGTCACACTTTTTCCCCATGAGGCTACCATGCACATTCCTGATAGAATGTATTTGTATACATGGACATGTTTTATATACCTATCTCTATTATTTTTGCTTAAGCAAGGAAAACAATATAGAGATATAGTATAGTTATGGATATGGATCATTACTTATTTAATTATATAGTTTGCTTTGCAAAAAAGGGAAACTTTATTCAAAACCTACCTGCTTACTACATTTTAAATGTTTATGTAACTAAACCACTACTCAAAATTCTTTTACCAAAAAAAAAAAAAATTTATTTTACCTTTTACAACTAATGTGTGTTGTGTGCTTCTCCGAACTGCATACTAAGCTAAGTCTTATATGTGGATCGTCTCATTTAATCCTCACAACAATCCCGTAGGCACTTTTCTTATGATCCTACCAGTGAGGATAATGGGATTTGGAGAGGCACCGGTCCGTGTCAGCTCTTCATTTGGCACCACACTGTAACCTGGATTGAAACTGTAAGATTCAGACACTTTCCTTTCCTTTTCTCCCACCTACTCGCAGAAGGTGAGGTGCATATTTTACTAAATCTAGAAACTTCATTAATTAGGAGGCCCTAATGAATTACAGTTGGCATAGTGCGTTTGGTATTGGGCAACTACCTGCAAGATGGGAAGTTCAAACCCATCGGCCACTCTAACGGAGAAAGATGAGGCTCTCTCCCCCCTTAAGACTCAGAACCTTCAGGAAGAGGTCTACTGTGTCTTACTAGGAGCTGTGCGTCAGAATCTTGTAAAGGGCAGTGGGTTTGTGACTAACACGGAGCCTAACTTGGCAGGCGATTCTGTCTTTCTCTATAGGTTATGGAGAGGCTTTTCAAGACTACCACAACGATGGTTCTCTCAAATTGTCCAGAAGATGTGGAACTCTGTCACAAGTTCATTGCTCCTGGACAAAAGGTAATTAGTTTTGTGGATAAAGCAGAATCCTTCTGCTCTTTAAGTTGGTTGATTATATATAATGAATACAATAACATTAGCTACATGTTCTTTTCTTTTCTCACAAAGGATAGATTAGAACATATGCTGAAAAACAACTTTTTAATGTAAGTATGGTTTCCCTTAACTTTATACTTTATCATTGTGTTTGTCATACTGTGGCAATGATTTGTTTATATAACGGCTTACCATACCACCCCAGTTGTGAAACAAGGTCAGTGTTTTTTATTCTTTTTGTGGCTCTTTTACCTGGTTCATAATTAATATCATGCTTTATAAATAAAGCAAGACATATGAACATAGTAATTATTACCTGTATAACTACAATTTAAGCTAATCTTAACATTAGTAATCAAAAGTTGATTGGTCTGAAAAACAAACTTTTAAAATATGCCCAAAGACTGTCTGCTGCTTAATTTCTCTCTCTCGCTCTTTTTTTAATGCTTCACTAGCAAAATTTGATAATATATCCTCAATTGGATTTTTAACCTTTTCTTAAAAAACCTACATGCCTATGTTTTAAGCATCACACATACCTTATTTTATAATGAAAGGATTTTACGTTGTAATTGGGTCCTCTCCCTGAGGATCACTATTGTCACTATTTAGTTTAGACACTGAGTGCATTAGACTTGGATCCCCATAACTTAATAACTATCCTTTTTTTTGTTTCCTCAACAAATATTTATTGACAACTTACTGTAAATTGTGCTAGTCATTGAGGATTCTGTAATGAAAAGATACAGGGATTTGTTCTTTTATAGGATTTTAAATCTAGAGAAAAAGATAACATATATGCACAAATATTTACATATTTACAACTATGGACCTGATTAATAGTCATCTTTGACCTTTCTGAACTTTAATTGCATCATCTGGAAGGTAATATAATACCTGGCCTATCTTACATTGTTGAAAGGATCCAGTGATAGGTTAATATTCTTTTAATCAATGTATCAAACCACATAATTTGAAAATCTACCTATTATAAAGTACTTTGAAATAATAATTGAAATATTTTAAAATTCTGTTAAATGTATTTTATTGGAAATATATAGACAATTCAACATTCACGAATTTAACACTGTTCACAGTTACAATCCAGATGGATTATATCTGTCATAGGCATCTAGCAATATTATCCAGTGCCAACTTAGTAGGTAGCGCAAACTGTTGATTTTTGTGGAGACTCCATCCACTATTAATTACTTAATCCATAAAGAGGCACCACATGATTTGTATTCTTCTAAAATCATGAATTTCAGTGTGTTTTGAGTATTTATTATAATTGCTTGATGTGAAGCACGCTATTTAAAAGACTGGTGAAAGTAATCTAATTTAGCCCTTACCAAACAATTCAGTTATTTTATATTTCCTATAGAGCAGTGGTTCTCAACCTTCCTAATGCCACAACCCTTTAATACAGTTCCTCATGTTGTGGTGACCCCCAAGCCATAAAATTATTTTAGTTGCTACTTCATAACTGTAATTTTGCTACTGTTATGAATCAGGCAACCCTGTGAAAGGGTCGTTCGACCCGCAAGGGAGTTGCCGACCCACAGTTTGAGAATCATTGCTTTAGAGTATTATGGTTTTAAAATTTTGCCTTCATTTATCTATCTATCTATCTATCTATCTATCTATCTATCTATCTATCTATGTGATTTTAAGGCAAAGAATGATAATAATGTCCTCTTTAGCTTAGTAGCTTTACTCCAGTAGCATCAGAATAATCCATTTTCTTCATTAAGCAATGACAAATCTGAAACATGAAATCAGTTTGATGTTACATCATGTGACAGATTATTCCTGACTGAGGAAATGTGCATGTTCTTGTGAACCAAATGCACTTAGTACTGAGCCAAATTGCACTTACAACAGACTGTGCTGTTTTGTTTTTGTACATCTTATTGTTTGTGACATGAACTGCAGCATATAGTTTACTAATTTACCCATGTTAGCAGCTTCACGCTAACCCCCAAAGATAAATAATGGCAATAATAATGACAACTTCGTAAAGATCGGTGTTCAAGTTACATCACAGCTGATTTTAGATGGAGTCGCAGGAACAGAGCCTGCCTAAGTGGGCACTAGCTGGTGACTTAGAGAGTCTTCACCTCCTTTCTGCAAAGCACTGTGGAAACAGTGCCTCTCTATGTAAAAAACAGTCAATAGAGTTAATGAAGTTCATTAACTTATCTAGTATCTGGACTATAATTTGCATTTGAATGCGCGACCTCTAACTTAGGGAGGGGTACAGAAGACTGAGAATAAAGTTGTTTGGGCATGAGAGCCTTTTTCTGGAATGGTGAGAACAGCAACATATCCATGATATAAAGTGCTTTTGAGCGGCTTTTACATTTCTGAGTACAGGTATGTGTGCTTAACATTCAGAGCACAGTTTTTGAAACAGGACATTTTGTGATTCCGACAGTGAGCCAGTCTAGATCAAGTCCATATTGAAGTCCATGGGCTCCGCTTCTGGTTATCGCCATTGCTCCTGCTGCTGCTGGGCTGGAGGAATGGGCAGCAGGAGCAGAGCAAGTGGACTTGAGCAGGCAGGGATTGGAGTCTGCCCGCCCTGCCCATTGTTACATCTACCTGAGCAGCAGGAACAACTGGCCCTGCAGCCCTTGCCACTGCCACCTGCCTGCCAGTCAGAGCGAGCCCATGAGCCCACCTCCAGAGCCATGCCCTTACCTGTACCCCACCCACTGTCCAATGCTGCAGGAGTCTGGGTGTGAGGTCTTTAACATGACAACGGAAGAATAATAAGCCAATGGAGAGCCGCTTTCCTTTCTAAACCCAAGTGTGCTGGGGTGTAGACATATTTGGTGGGATGTTAAACAGCGCATAACTATGTAATGGAGAGATTATATAAAGTACTTGATAGAAGGGAACAGTAACATAAAAAGAACCATGGACAAAGATTAGGTGAATCTCCTTATTTTACAAATGCATTAGTTTCATTTTTAATATTTATATATAACAAGCAGTGTAAGATACTGTGACTTGCAATTACTAGTAAGCCATGGAGTCAGAGGGCGAACCCAGTCACTCAGTGTTGTACTTCGTTAAAGACTTCTTGGAGCTATGAAGGCTGGTTGAAGCCCTAGTACCATAAGAGGACGTTAGAAATTTGGTGGAAATTTTCCATTATCTTTTCGTTTCATTTTCCATGAACTTTACGAATCCTTTACATATTGCCCTGAGACAAGCTTCAATCCTTAAACCAAAATAGCCTTTGAATTCTTGTTAAAAATTGAACAATTGCTAGGTTAACGTTTTAAAAAAATGGTTTGCCTTGAGCACTGTCTGTATGGGATTAGATTGACAGCAGCAATGTGAGGGAGATTAGATGGGAATCTTTAAGGGGCCGTGAGTTATGTTAATGAGGGAGGGATACAGTGAACCCTCGCCACTTCGACTTCCGCGGCGGCTTCACCCTATCGCGATTTTTGCGTAACAGCGCATGCTCTGTCATTACTGCCACTGATTGGCTCATACTGTACATGCTTCTGTCTGCATCGCTACGTATCGGAGCTACGTATCAGATGCATTTTTGCTTTTGTACAGTGTACTGTAATTGTTTGCGATTTTTAAGAAATGTTATCTAAGCCCTATGATGGCTCCTAAACGAGCTGCTTCTTCTAAGCCTTCTGACAATAAAATAAGCGCCAGAGGAAGATGCTCACCATTCAGGAAAAGGTAAAACTTTTGGATATGATCAAAGATGGCAAGAAAATCGTGGAGGTTGCACGCCATTTCGACTTGAATGAGTCTTCCGTTCGCTCCATCCGTTGTACTTCATAAGATAATAAATGATAATTGTAACGTCCAAAATGTTTTACTGCATTTTCCCTTTTTCGTTTAATAAATTGGGTAATACGAGTGTAATGGTGACTAAAGGGTGTTTTTTCATGTCCTCTATGCTCTAACTACGAAAATATTTGATTTACAAATAAGGAATCCTACTTCGCGGAATTTCATTTATCACGGTAGGGTCTAGAACCGATTAACCGCGATAAATGAGGGTTCACTGTAGCTCCAACCAGGAGGGTGAAATGGCTCCCCTGCCCCAGGAATGTAATCAGTGTCCCTAAGTGGTACCTGGAGAAACTTCTCACAGCAAAGAAAGGGAAATGGAAGGGGAGGGGAACAGCCATAAGGGTGGTGGCTCTCCACGCTTCTCTCGCCCTGTTTTCCTCCAGTATATCTTACACGGAAGCTGTGGAGATCTTACAGCGGGCATCCCAGAACTTCACCTTCACCCCTGAGGTGGGTATTGCTTTTCCCATGTATTCATGAAGAGTCATTTCAAAATCACCACCTTTCTCTTATTAGCAGCGTGTCGTTTTTTGCGCATCTATAGATAAGCTTCGTTGGATGCTTGCTCTCTCTGAAAGATGTAGAATGAAAACGAAGCATGAAGCCGACTCAGCTGAGTTGATTCTGGCTCACAACAGTCCTGTGGAGGGTATCCAAGGCTGCCATCTGTACAGAAGCAGAAGCTAATTGCTACATCTTTCTCCTGCAGAGTACCCTATTGGCTCAGCCCCCAGCTTTTCAGTTTGCAGCCAAGGGCTTCAACTCTTGTACCACCAGGATTTCCAATTATTTGTAACAGCAGTTAAAGGGTTATGTGCATGTTTGTGGGGGATGGTGGAGGTGGGTAGACTAGAGAAACAAATCCAGAGACACTCATAGATAGGTAAGACAGAGTTTTATATCAAAGAGTAATTGTATATTAAGAAAACATCCCAGCCCAGTCTAGATCAAGTCCATAAATCCAATATTAGCCCAGCAACACATGCAATGACCCCTAATGCAGGAAAATTATAGGCCAGTGGGTGGAAAATCTCGTGGATCCAGTGGTGTGGCGGTGGAAGCATCTCAGCACTAGCATGGGTCTCCATGTGGCTCCTCCAGCTCCAAGGCTCTGGTTCTATCAGCATAGCTCCATATGACTTACAGCTCCATACACAACAGGAATGTGTAGTCTATAGGGAGTATGTCCCACCTCCAGGGGGAAAGACAGGAGTTCCCAGAATCCTCAGGAGAAGGTCAGTCCCACACAGTCATCATTGGCTATGACCTGATTGACAGACTAGACTCCACCCCTTTGCTCAAGTTGACAGGAGATTATGTAACTGCTGGGGGAGGGGGTGTTGACATGGCAAAGCCAAACCAAACGTATTGCCATTGAGTGGACGCCACTTCATAGCAACCCTGTAGGACAGGATAAACCTGCCCCTGTGAGTTTCCAAGACTGTAACACTTTTTTTCTTTTTTTACTGTAATTCTTTACGGGAAAACCTCATCTTTCTCCCTTTGATAAGTTAAGGGGGCATGACAATCTTTCACAAGAATGTTAATCTTAGAACATTAGTAGATATCAACTAGTTTTGTTTTTCCCAAAGTGTGTTCTAAGTGATTAAAAAGAGATTGTGGTCAAATACACATAGGAAGCACCTCAAGCAGGTTTCTTTTACAGTTCAATTTTTGGAGCCTTTTAGTTTGTGAAGGCACCCTGGAGCCATCAAGGGTTATGCCATGGGCTGCTTACCTCAAGGTCAGCAGTTCAAACCTACTAGCCACTCCTCAAGAGAAGGCTGAGGCTATCTGCTACTGCAGAGACTTAGAGCCTTGGGAACCCACAAGGGCAGTTCTACTCTGAACATAGGATTGCCGTGAGTTGGAATACACTTGATGGCAGGGAATTTGACTTCAATTTGTGAGGCACTTTAGAAAGATTTTTGATGAGGAATATAGGTCCAGAGAGATCATATGACTTACCCAGGGTCATTTGCATTAGGGTTAGAGGCAGAACCATACCCCAGATCTCCTGATTCCTGGCATAGTGCAATTTTTGCTATCATTAAGATACTGCCAGACAGATGGGGTAATAGGATGATATTAAGAATGCTGTAGCTTCGCCTTCAAACTACTCCACATAACTGTCCCATCCTTAGATCCTCTGACAAGTTCTAATAGCACCCTGTGTTTGCTATAGTTCTAATTTGTTAGTTCTCGGTGTGGTTTTTAATTAATGTTTGTTTCTTGCCATGGAA